GCTCAGTTGGACAGAGACGATTAGCAAAAGTCAGCAGCAGCAATGATGAAATCTGCAGCAAAAAATGTGTGTATGCATCTAACTTAGTCCATAGACTGTCAAACTCAGGGGTCACAGAGAGGCTTCAGCTGGTGAGAGCCAGCGTCCATTTCCTTGGAGCTAGCTTGGGAGAGTTGGGGATGGTGGGCGGGGACGGTCCTGAGACTTTTTCAGCTTTAGCAGGAGTTCCTGGTACGGGAAAGTTTGAGAACCCCTCTTTCCCAAGCAAAGGCTCAGCTATCCAGGAAAACGCCATCCATTTGCACATTGAGGGAGAAAAAAATATTCTAGGATGGAAGCTTTACAGGAGTTAAGAGACCTGAGTGGGTTTTGTTTGATGTAGTCAACTCTGCTTCTTTCTACCTGTGTTGTTCACCATCCAGTGTGCATAGGACTTGACAACCTCTTCATTTCTGCTGGTTACAATGTTGCATAAATTGAGTCTTGCTTTTTAAAAGATTGTAATGAATACGGCTGCACAGTGCTGTGGTACACTAGGCGTCTTATGGTACTCAGCAGGGCGCCAGTTGTCTCACGACTCAAAGGCAAATGGTGTAGGTGCTTCAGCTGTGAGGCCCTAGCAGCGCTAGCACAGGTAGATCCCAGTGAGCACTAAGTTACATGGCTAAGTGAAAGGGTATTTTACTAGAGCTGGCAAAGTAAATGTTCTAGTTACGGAGGCTTCAAGGTTCAACACTTCAGGTGGCCTCTGGGGGCACTCCAATAGAGAGTTCGGGCTCCTCAGAATGGACCTTAATATTATACAAGAAGATCTGGGTGACCTTGAAAACTGGAGAAATGGGATGAAATTTAATAGTGCAAAGTGCAGGGTCATCCACTTAGGGACTAACAACAAGAATTTTTTCTATAAGCTGGGGATGTATCACTTGGGAAGTGACAGAGGAGGAGAAAGACCTAGGTGTATTTGTTGATCACAGGATGACTATGAACCGCCAATGTGATACAGCCATGAAAAAGGCTAATGCAGTCCTAAGATGCATCATGCGAGGTATTTCCAATAGAGACAGGGAAGTGTTAGTATTATACACGGCACTGGTGAGACCTCATCTGGAATACTGTGTGTAATTCTGGTTTCTCATGTTGAGAAAGATTAATTCAAACTGGAACAGGTGCGGAGAAGGGCTACTAAGATGATCTGGGGAATGGAAAACCTACCTGATGAGAGGAAACTGAAAGAGCTTGGCTTGTGTAGCCTAACCAAACAAAGATTGAAGGGAGATATGATTGCTCTCTAAACTCATCAGAGGGATAAATACCAGGGAGGGAGAGGTGTTATTTAAGTTAAGCATCAATGTTGACACAGGAACAAATGGATATAAACTGGCCATCAACAAATTTAGGCTTGAAATTAGATGAAGGTTGCTAACCATCAGAGGAGTGAAGTTCTGGAACAGCCTTCCAAGGGGAGCAGTGGGGCAAAAAATCTAATTGACTTCAAGACTGTACATGGTAAGTTTACGTAGGGGATGATACGATGAGACTGCCTACGATGGCATGTAGCCGATCTGCAACTGCTAGTAGCAGATATCCCCAGTGGCAGGTGATGAGACTCTAGATGGGGAGGGCTCTGAATTAGTACATAGAATTCTTTCCCAGGTGTCTGGCTGCTGGGTCTTGCCATAATGCTCAGGGTTCAACTTCCTGACCCCAGATATGATGGTCAGGAATTATCCTCTGAGTCAGATTGGCAGAGACCCTGGGGGTTTTTGCCTTTCCCTGCAGCATAGAATATGGGTCACTTGCAAGTTTAAACTAGTGTAAATGGTGGATTCTCTGTGACTTGATGACTTTAAATCATGATTTGATGACTTCAGTAACTCAGCCACAGATTATGGGTCTATTACAGGAGTGGGTGGGCAAGGTTTTATGACCTGCAGTGTGCAGGAGTTCAGACTAGATGATCATGAATGGTCCCTTCTGGCCTGAAAGTCTGAGAGTCTATTAAAGGCAAATAAGTAACTCACAGATTTCCAGGCCACGATCAATATATCGTATGTCTCATTGGGTGCCCCTCTGCATAGTTTCTTTGCTGCTTCAGCAACAGGGGCGGCGAACTATATGGGCCTGTGGTGCCTGTGCTCCAGGAATATTCAGGGCCTGGGGGCCCGACTCCACTAATGTTCGGGGCCGGGTCTCTCCTACGGCCCCGCCTGCCACCCGTCGCCCCCGCATGCCTCACCCAAAGCATCTCCTGACCCCGCCTGCCATGCCCAGGTGATTTAAAAGGGCCCCTGGCCGCCGCCGCCACCACAGGCAGCGCAGTGGGGCTAAGGCGGCTTCCTGCCCGGCACCACTCCTGGAAGCAGCCGGAACGGCCCTATGGCCCCTGAGGGGGGAACGGGGTCTCCGCGCATTGCCCCCGCCCTGAGCGCCGACTCCACAGCTCCCTTTGGCTGGGAACTGTGGCCAATGGGAGCTGTGGGGGCAGTGCCTGCGGGCAGTGGCGCGTGGGGACCCCCCGTCCAACCACCGCCTAGGAGCCGCTTCCAGAGGGGTGTGCGGGTTGTTTTCAGGAGCCGCCCGAGGTAAGTGCTGCACCCCTCACCCTCTTCCGCACCCCAACCCCCTGCCCCAGCCCAGAGCCTGCACCCCACACCCAAACTCCCTCCCAGAGCCTTAGGCAGGTGTGGGGGAGCGGTCTTGGATCCGTTCTGGGGACCACCAAAAATTATAGAGACCTGCCTCCCCTGTCCAGCAGTACTTCCTGAGCAGCTCCTGATAGCATGTGGCTCCAGATAGGTGTAAGGTCCCCTGCAGTCTCTGCCTATATATAATTGTTATTTACAAGGATAATAGACCCACAAGAAAGGGCTAACACCTGGATAGAACATACTGACCACTCCCCCAGTGACTCTGGTTCTTTGTTTGAAGCAACCTTCTTCTGGTTTCTGTCCTTTTAAGATACTGAGCTAGCTGCTGGCTCTGTGTCCCTGAGAGTTCTCTTCAGGCTCCTCTATATTCTGTCGCTTGCTGCTTCCTGCATAGACGGTATCCAGATGTAACGTTTGCTACGCACAGCCTGCTGCACATGTGGCTCTTCACCTTTTCCTCCCTTGGTAGGGTTCCCACTCTGCATGCAGCTCCTCAGCTTCTTTCCATCCTGCTTCCCTGCTCTGCCCTTCGCTCACCATGCAGACAAGCCCATGTGGCTCCTACCTCATGATGCAGCTCTTCCATCAGCCCTCCAGCTCCCCTGCTCTGTTCTCAACTTGTGTCACAGCCTCTGCAGCTTGTCTTGCTCAGACCTCAGCTTTCCCAGAGAAAGAGGACAAGTTTGCTTCCTGGGTCAGGCTTTTCCCAAGATTTTCCACACTCTCTCCCCATTGACGGGATGAGCCTGCACCTGCACCCTGGAGAGTCACAAGGTGGGGAGTGGATATTGATGCTAAATGATGAGCTAAAATTTTTTATCTGCTCAGCCGATTCATCACAAGATGAACCCGTAAAACTCCAAGAGTATAGCCCTCTCCACACAGTGGATAATATCCCAATAGCTGAGGAAAAGGGAATCAGAGAAGACAACTACATGTATTCACAATGGATGGTATACAATCTTGCTTTCTATGAAACTGTGGTGAAATCTCTTCATCCCAAAGACCACCTCTGCCAAGCTAGTTCAAACAATTGGGGGCAGCTGTGTATAGTTGCATGCAAAACATACATTACTGTGTGCTCTGCAGAAGATGCTAATTGCTTGACTTGTGAGAGAGAAGGAGTTTGTAGCAGTTTTGAAGCATGTTTGCTTCTCCTTGGTCTGTTTTCCCCCTCCTGTTATGGTCGAATGCTGATGAGCCATGTACCGTGCAACCCATATCATTCATTTTTTGAGCAATAAGTGAAGTCATCAATCCTGGTTACCTGTTGCTGCTAACAGGGACAGGAATGAACAGATCAGTATCATGCTGACTCCAAATGCACCTTACATAGGTAATGAATTATTTGTTTTCCTTGTGCTGAAGTTGACGGGGGGTGGGTGGGAGGGGAGGCAACAGCCTATGCTGCCCCCTTTCCCACAGGAATCAGGTATAGTGTTGTAAAATTATAAACCCAGAATTAAAAGCAGAGCTGTCTGTGTAAGTTTGTTATTCAGGAAATAATGTAATACTCATCCGCCTCTAGAGCTCTGCCTGTGCTGTGCCACAAGGATCCATCCTCTCCCCCATTTTATTCAGCATCTACGAAAGCCACAATGAGAGTGTGTGAAAGTGCATGGACTAAAATGCCAGCGAATGTGGGAATTTGCAGACTGGATCGGATCCGTGTGCCATTTAGTCCAGTATTCTGTTTCCAACAGTAGCCAGTATAAGATGAACCCAGATCTATATCAGCCCCACATCAGATGCAGACAACACCATCTCTCACTTATCCAGGGCCTTGGCTGAGATCAGAAAGTTGGAGGATGATCAGGAATAATGTGTCCCCCCAAATAGAAACTTTATGGCATAAGTAATAGAAGTAGCCTTTATATAGCTATAGAAAGCCACTAAAAATTGTTTCCCATGGCTGATAGTATAGTCTGATGTGGTCACACTGTTCCTGGTTTTCCATCCATTTTGGTATTTAAATTATTGAACAAGTCTTGTATAACACATATAGGCCATAGAATCCTTAATCTGAAGTGTTTAAACTTCAGTATAAGTGGACTTGACATACCAATTCAGGTCAAGCTGACTTTTTGGTTTTGAACACTGGCAGATCCAAACCTAGATCTCTTTCCTTTGCAATTAAGGAGAGTGTAATTTGTGTTTCCTGCCTTTGGCTGAGTCAGGCTGTATATGAAAATTGACCGATAAATAAGATTCCTTGTTCTGGGCCTGATTTGGTGAGCACTTTCAACTCGCACTGCATTCAGTTGGATTTGAGGCCACTCAAAAGCTCATGGGATTGGGCCCTCAAAGAGAGAGATATCTTATTTCTTTATTTTATTCTTTTTATTTCAGGTGGTGAAACCCTGCTTCCTGCCAATCAACTACGAACTGGTAAGTGAATCTGACAGTACTGATGTCAATCAGGGGAAGAGTGCAGTTAAAGGACCAGCAGAAGTATTCATACCCACCCAACCCTTACAATCATCTACCTCTGTCCTGCTGCGTAAGGTTGGGCAAATCACTTCTCGCTTCTGTGCTTCAGTTTAACCCTCTGTAACATGCTGATAATGATATTTACCCATATTGGGTAAAAAGCATTGTAGAAGTGCTGCTTCATTATTCATTATTATTTCATTATAGTCAAATGGTTAAAGACTGAACTGGTGATTCATTGGGTCAGTTACCAAAGGCATTAATAAAAATTGAGTGAGGACTCTAAATTTGGCCCAATAATTTTATTTATGAGCTAATCCCCTGCTACGGTGTTGGGACTCTGCACAAGGTTGGTATAAAAATCAATAAAAGTATTGCAATAAAAAAGCAGCCCCTTCCTACCTTACATCTATAGCTTACAATATTAGTCTTACTGAACATCTGTCATGATACCCGCCGTCATAAGACTACCTTTTAGTTGCTAGAATGCAGAATCTGGATGCTATTTTCTTTTGTATTTTTATGCATAATTGGAAAATTTGAAGGGAAAAAATCCCTTGTTGCTGTGTGTGTTAAAAAGGTGAAGTGAACTGGAGTTACTTCTGAACTACCATCTGTATAATGGATTACCAATCACTAGCATCAGTGGGCTGACTGCTCTTGGGTATGTAGGTTTACATGAGAAGTCAGTTTCTGTATGTCAGTCTGTGTGAGTGTGTATGTGCTTCTTATCTATTTGCATCGTTTGTTCTCCGAGCCTTTCTCAAATTGCTGAGCAAACCTGAAGGGTTGAGAGCCAAAACATGAATACTGTAGCATGCTCCTAAGTCTCATACAGGCATAAGATTCAAGGATCCCCGGCTATGCAGTTGGGGATCAAGACTCTCTCTGAATTCCTGGCTTTCCATTGATTTTTGTGTGTGCCTCATTCAGCAGCAGTTTAACATTTACTAGTGATGGCATGAGGGGCTCTTTAATCCGTGGGTGGTACCTCTAAAAGGTGCCATGCCGTCTTTAGGAAGTCCATTTCTCTGTAGTCCCTGGTCTAATGTAAGGCCTGTTGAAATCAATAAAAATTCTAGGCACAATCTTTTGTGTGTCAAATTGATGGGATTTGGAAGAAGGAGACTAAATGTGAGCTGGCTCCCCTTGATTACACACAGTAAAGTGTTAACAGAAGTGATTTTTTCCCCTCTTCATAGTGGGCCTTGCTCATTATGCCATCCCATGTGAGGTGGATGAGATGGCACTGTCATCCAAAACTCTCCTGGTCCAGGCAAATGAGGCTAATCACAGTTTCTTCCATTTGTTCTGGTTATTAGCAATATTCCTGATCTCTTTGGGGTGTGTTACCACTGAATTGCAAATTGGGCTTGCTCTACTAGATTCTCCTGATCCATATAGGTACAGGGTATGGCCTGTATTAACTCATTTTCATCCTTTTTTTTTCTCTATGAAAGGATGAGGGTATTGGGAAGTAGGTGACAGAACTCCTGAAGTCTGTTGGTTTGTATGAAATAACTAATTAGGACAAATATTTCATCAAAGCAAGTCCTTGAAAGGATTTTGGAAACACCCCTCATAATTTATAGTCTCTCTGAACATTAAGGCAAGTGATTTACAAGCAGTTACCTTTCTGTTACCTCTCTATATAACTGTCATACCAGCTCAGCCTGCTTCTGTTTCAAGTGGACACAAAAGTGCAGTCTCAGAACAAAGCTAACTGTTACTGGTATTAGGCAGGTAGAAGATTCCGATTTTATTTGGATTAGGGGAGGTGAACACTCAGTGGGATTATTTAGACTGTAGACTCTTCAAGTCAGATACTTTCTTTTAATCTGTACAGCACCCAGCATGATGGGGCCCTAGGTGCTACCATAATACAAATAAGTAACAGACAACTTCTAAGATAGTTCTCCAGTTAGTGGTACAAACATGAAACTGAACTCAGTGAAAAATAAAGATAGTTACAACACATACCTTGCAGTACAAGATCTTATCCAGTAACTTAGTAGTGATCATTTGATAACAACACATATTTTTTCTACTTAGTTTCTTACACTCACCCATAACGATTGTCTGAGCATCTTCCAGCAGTGCATTAAATGATGTGACCAGCATCTATCTATCTTTCTTTCTCTCTCTTCCCCCACACCCTGGTAGAAAATTGTAGGTGAATTTTTTTTAACATATGTTGTACTGTGTGTTTTTATTACTGAGGGCAAGGTTGAAGATCTGCATCTTGCACTTGGAATGGAAAGTGGTGAAGTCTGTGGTGGTTCTTAAATCCTGCAGGATTTTGCACCACAATTTCAGACTTTTATAGTTCTGTTTCCTACCCAAACAAGCTTTACCAATGCGGTAAACAATTCTGTTGTTTAGGAGGAGCAGAGCTGTCTACTTTATGTACTGATCCCAAGCTTTAAGTGATTTTTTTTAGGCACCCCATTTTCAGAGCACTTGACAGAGATCTTAAACTTGAGATGTAATGAGTGAAAGGATGTAGTAGCCCATGTTTTGCCAATTTATGATTTGCCACTTAAACACAAACTTATCTGTATTTATTCCAAGATATGCAGCTTTTAGTAACACCATTTACTCCTGGGAGAATTCTGTGCCAAAAAAATTAAAAATTCTGGGTATAATATTTTAAAATTCTGCATAATTCTGCAATTGTTGTCAAAATAACACTATATAATCACACCAGTTTCAATTATTTTGGTAATTTATTTTAAAATACCTATCAGCAACTATGTCTAACAATACAGACACACACAAAAATTCCCCTTGGAGTAGAGAGTTAAAGAAATCCCTATGACAACCCAGTTCCTGTTTTTCTGTCCCGTCCCCGCTCAAGTCCAGCTGGGGTGCCAGAAACTCACATCCCTTCTCCCCCCCAGAGCCCAGCCATGCCCCCCCCCCCAGCCCAGACACTCACATCACCTACTTTCCAGAGCCCACTCAGAGACCAGCTGTGTCCCGGGCTAGCATGGAGTTTCCCTGCATGCGGCCGCCTCCTCCTTCCTTCTTCAGGGCATTCTGGGAACTGAAGCTGCTGGGAACCCTCCAGTCCCTTCTCCCCGCCTTGTCTTCTATTTGTGAGCTGGGCTCTGCTGGGTCCAGCAGCCCCCAGTGGCAGCCAACATCTCTGCAGCCCATTTTGGTGGGGGAAAAAGGAAATTCTGCCTGACCAACATTAATTTCTGCAAAATTCTGTATTGCGCAGTGGTGCAGAATTCCCCCAGGATTAACCATTTGGTTCCCACATAGAAGTAATTAATGCATGGCTATAGTATAAATTATTAAATCCATCTAACCTAACATAGTTGTTGCCAGCATAATCCTCCTGGTGGTTTATACTGAATACTGTAATTCAACTCTCACTGGCATATTGGCTGGTAGATTGTTGAAGCTAATGAAATTTACATACATTTTGTTTCTTCCGAATGTGGATTTTATTGAGTATTTTCAGCTTGAACGTCCGTTTCCAAAGAAGCTCTTTCTCCCCATTTCTCATAAACCAGACATCTTGAAGCTTAGCAGTGACATCAGGGCCCTCATGTATCAACTCACTGCAGCTGTTCAGAGTTTTAGGAGCTGAAATATAAGCCAGCTGTTGTTAGGTGTTCACATACTACTTGCTTTACATTGTCATTTCAGTTACTCTGATTTGAAAAGGGAGATTTTACTATAGCTCTTATAATCCAAGTCAAATGAAAATAATAACTGTTCTTTTATGCGTTTTATTTAATTGGATTAGATTTGACGAAATTGATTTTGCTAACATTTTTAGGGACACTATATAATGGATGGTAGGAATTAAAATTGATCTTGAGTGCTCTCATTTTATTTATTTGTTTATTTTGAAAATTAAACGTAGTTGAATTTTATAAAAAAAGATTTAAAATTAAAAAAGAATCAGAAGGATGCATGGCCATATACATTATGGGTGAGAACCTTGCCCTTACTCTGGCCCATTTATCAGGGGGGAAAGGAGCAGAGTAAAGGGACCCTTAAATCCCCAGTTGTAGCCGGGCGAGGATTCCCCAGCATAGGCACTGCCTTCTAAGAACCCCATGGCGATCCCCAGCATATAGACAAGAAGGGGATTAGGAGGCATGTGTTGGGAATGGGTCCACAGCATGTAGCATTGCAGAGATTCTGTGCATTGCTGCGACCTACAAGGCAGCCATAATTTAGGTAGGCCACCAGCCTCTCCATCCTTGGGAGCATCTCAGGATTGGGATGGTGCAAAGGTGGCATAAAGGATAAAGCCACCATAGCTCCCCCTTCCCCTGTGCTGTGAGTTCTGTGCTGTACCTCTTAGAGCCTCTTAGCACAGCATCTCACCCAATGCACGGGTTCTGAACCAGTCTTTGGAGGGCAGTTTGGCACCCAAATATGCAAGGGATCTGAAAATCCTACCTGAGCTGTGCTGGTGCACTGGTGCAGTCTTATCTGAGTGTAATGTCTCAGTGGTTAAGCTGTTATGTAGAGGTTTTGTTCAGTTGCTTTTAGGAAAGAGCACTGTGATGGGGAGTAATTGGCTTAAAGGTTATGGACAATGAATGTTGGTCAGGGAAGAAGTCAGAAAAGAATAGAGAGAGGAGGATGCCAATGAAAATAAAATAAATTAAAAATCAAAATCATACCAAGGAATAAGATGGTCTTCTGTGCTGCCTTTGAGAAGAGCTTGTGTTTAGTGTAAAGGGAAATCAGCAGTATAACCAAATGAACCGCTTTGACACAACAGTCAGTGGAATATATATTGAGCTACAGAATTATTGTATGTTCTTGTGTATGTCCAGGTCTAGGAATTGGTATCCTGTCTGGCTGTGAAGGTTCTTGGGGTGCCCAGGACTGAGAGTCACCTTTCTACTCCTTGCCTCCAGCAAGAAGGAGACTCACTGGTGCTTAATTGGGTGCTAGCTCCCTCCAGCCTGTTAGCCACCCAAACA